CTACATGATGTTCATATTTGACACGGTTCAACGTTTCATGATTTTTCTGTTTTCTTTTTTTTTTTGTTTTGTTTTGCTTTTGTTTTTTCAAAATAGGGTTTCTCTGTAGCTTTGGAGCCTGTCCTGGAACTAGCTCTTGTAGACCAGGCTGGCTTCAAACTCACAGAGACCCGCCTGCCTCTGCCTCCTGAGTACTGGGATTAAAGGTGTGTGCCACCACAGCCCTGCAATTTGGCTTTTTTTTTTGACAGGCCTATCAACTGATAATTTAAATATTTATTCCACCCAAAAAATAATACAAAAATCACTTTATACTACAAATCTTATTCCTAGAAAGGGATGTGAAAAAAAATCTATGAAAATGAGGGAAAAGTTATGCAGCTTCAATTCAACAATTATCTTCAAAGATAGTCTACATTGGTTTGAGAACATCAATTCTTTTATTGTTGTTTTGCTTTGTTTCAGACAGAGTTTCTCTGTGTAACCATGGCTGTCCTCAAACTCAGAGATCTATCTGCCTCTGCCTCCTCAGTACTAAGATTAAAAGTGTGTGCCACCACCATCCGGTCCGTCCATCAATTCTTTTTAACTATGAAAATTTCAGTGCAAACTTATTTAGTTCTAACTACAAAACAGAAATAAGTAACAGTATCACACAACATAGAAAACTGTCATTTTAAAACAGAATGTCTTTAAGAATACACATACACACTGTGCTGTTTCTAAAACAAATTAGAGCAGGTAATATACAGTCTTTATTTTATTAACGTCACCTCTTACTGATCTAAAGCATTATCAGTGAATACAAATTCAACAAGCACTTCAATCGGTTGAGTTAAAACAACTAAAAACTGAAAAAAGAAAACCCAAAGGAGTCCATTATTTGCTTCATACATACCACACCACCACGACCCATTTACAACACAACAGAGTGATAGTTTCCTGGTACACAATCGTGGTGCTGAGGGGACAAAGATCATCCTAAAGCTGATGAAGTGGAAGGGCACTCGGTTGAGGCCCTACAAATCACCCATGATGAGGAAAGAATTTTGGGGTAGACTATTGCAGACCACTTTGAGTTCTATGCAGAAGCAAGCTCACCACCACCAGTACTGTCCGCACTGTCATTCAGAACATCTATTTACATGTCATTTTCTTCCTAAGTACAAAGCATTTCATCACGTAAGGGTGTCTGCCCCCAGTCAGGCTCATAGCACAATTTACCATCTGCCTGCACGCTGGCATCACTATCTTTTCAATATATTGAAATTATCTAGCACACATCTCATTATCACATACCTTTCCTGCCTTTGGTAATCATTATCTTGGAATATAGTGCTCAACCACTGCTTTCCACATAGCTCTTGTTTTGTTGAGGTGGCTGTTTGAGGCAAGGTCTCTCTATGCAGCCTAGACTAAAGTTGAACTTTAATTTGCCTGCCTCGGCCTCCAAATTGGAATTACAGGTAAATATCACCAATACATTGGTGATGCATTCGTGGCAACTGCATGTTATATAAACACTAGATTTTGAGAGTTTTCTAACTTTTCTAAATGGCAAACTGGTCTGTACCCTCCAGACCAGTTTTACTCAGTACCTTGTTTTACTCAAGATTTGGTTGTTCCTTAATTCAGTGCTGTTCCACATAGCTCTATAAGGAATGCCCAGCTTTCTGACACTACAACACACTGTCATCTATAAAACTCACACTCAAGAATTGTGCGAAAGGGGCTGCAAAGATGGCTCAGTGGGTAAGAGCAATTGTTCTTAGAGGACTAGAGTTCGGCTCCAGGCACCCACAAGGTGGCTCACAACTGGGAGAAGATCTTTTATGGCATCTTTAGGCACTGGTGCACAAATATAAATGCAGGTGAAACATTCACACACATAAAATTAATAATTTTTAAAAAACTATGCAATAGGGCTAGAGAGATGGCTCAGTGGTCTAGAGCACTTCCTGCCCTTGCAGAAGACCTGGGTTAAATTCCCAGCACTCATATGGTGGCTCATAATCATCTATAACTCCAGTTTCAGAGGTTTCAACACCCTCTTTGGGCCTCCTCAGGCACACAAACGGTGCACAAACATACATACACATCTATACACATAAATAAAATTTAAAACATTTTCTATGCAACAGAATGACCAAAAAACAAAATCACACGTTAAAAAAATCACATACTGTCATGTTCACAACTCTGTGTTGGGCACATTTATATTGGCTGCATGGAGCCCTCCAGCTGCAGAATGCACTTATCTGCATCTAGTTCACTAATTAAAAAACAACAACAAAATTATTAAGCATTACTAATTTGTGTTAATATCACAGCATAAAGGTCATTTTCTCCTACCAGAATATCTGTTTCCACTTTATAAGGGCTGGAAATGTAACTCAATAGTCTTCTTTCAGGACCCAGACCATGTGTCCTCTTCACATTCCTACAGTTTTGTTTATCAACTTCAACATCTCATCTCTTACAGCACAGTGCCAATGGCAATCATTTAACTATTGTGAACTAGGAAATATTACTGTACACGGTATTGACAGATGGGGTTATGCTGCTTTTAAGAAAACAGTATTACAGTGTACAAGGCCTTAGGTTCAATCCCCAGTACCACACACCCCCAAAAGAAAGTTATTTGAGGTTGGAGAGATAGCTCAGAGGTTAAAAGCATTGGCTGTTCTTCCAGAGGTCCTGAGTTTAATTCCCAGCAACCACATGGTGGCTCACAACCATCTGTAATGAGATCTGGTGCCCTCTTCTGGTGTGCAGACATACATGCAAGCAGAATATGCAAAACATATAAATAAATCTTTTTAAAAAAGGAAAAAACTAAGTTAAATTTCCATTTTTATAATGCAATATACAATTCTGTGCTCTATTACAGGATATATTCCTAGCAAAAGAACAATGACATCAACAGGCATATAGATATACTTTCAACTTCAATCTCCAGGTATGAGCCTTACTTAGCCCGGGCTTCTTATTGTTATCCAATCTATACCTTTAGCAAGTTCATTTCTATAACCCAAAACATCTATCTCATCTAAGTCTCTCAAAGGAACACTGACAAATACAAATTCTCAATCAATGAATATCACAGTTTGCTGGATTTTTTCCAACCAAGTTTTGTATAGGCTTTGCACCTTTGGGAAACTCAGACACGATTTATGTATTTCAAACAAAAGGTGTTGAAGACAAAAGGCAGATTAGATTAAGGCTAGGTGCCAACATTCCAGAATCAAACCAACTGCAGCTCTGTTGGGGTTCCCCCTACACTAAGTTAAATTGCTGCTCTTGCAGAGGACCTGGGTTCAGTTCCCAATATCCACATCAAGTTTAACCACATATACCTGTAACTTTAGTTTCAGGGAACCCAACATCCTCTTTTGACATTCGTAGACACCAGGCACAGCAAAAAGAGAACATATATAATTAAGGCAAACAATCATACACATCGAACTAATTTTATTAATGTTATAAATAAAGTTGCCTGCCTTTAATCCCAGCATCTGGGAGGCAAAGGCACACAGATCTAAGTTTGAGGCCAGCCTGGTGTAGGGTTTCAGGACAGTCAAAGACACACAGAGAAACCCTGTCTGGAAACACACACACACACACACACACACACACACACACACACACAAAGAAAAAGTTAAGCACAGACACTTTTTATGAAAGCTGTGCAGATGTCTGAAACAATAAAGAACAGAGCCACTCTGTTCAATGATCTAAGAATTAACGTACAATTCAGATTAAGCCAATAAAAAAAGACAGGATCTCACAATGTATAATGTAGCCCTGGCTGACCTGGAACTCATGTAGGCCAGCCAGGATGATCTCGAACTCAAGAGCCCCTGTGGCCCATGTGCTAAGATTAAAGGTGTGTGCCACTACACCAGTCCACCAATACCTACTTTCTGCAGCTCTAGTACAAACTAGCGCTTTATAGATAAAGTTACTCAGCAGGAATGAACTGAATTTTTGCGTGTCGGTGAGTGAAAGACATTTGTTCAAAAAAGTTCTCCTGGCTTTGGGTATCACTACTAAATATTCTGTAAAATGAAGACGCTGAACTAAAGAGTCCTTAAGTTACTAACTGTCATTTTCAGGTAAGGCATCTACAATCCAAAAGCTAAAAGGAATTCGCCAGCCGAGATCCTCTTTCCTACAAGCAGGGGATCTTTACTCCGCATCACGTGTCTTTAAACTCGCGGTTCAAAAACTGACATACCTGTATTAGTTATACATAAGCAAATTGATCTATCATAGAAAAAGCACAACTCCCAACCCTACATTTTTTTTTCCTTTCAACTTTGTGATTTTTTTTCCTTCTATCTTCCATGAAAAACTACAGGATGAGAAAAACGCCGACTGTATGAGTTTCGGGCTCTAAACTGGTGCTGGGCCCAAATCTCTCGATACTATTTAGTGTTTGGTTGTGAACTTCTTGATTATTTACCTTTTAGTCTGTCACTGCGGACCAAGCACCGGTTCTGCAGAAGGCACGGTAAACGAGAGCGGGACACACTAGTAATCCCCACGCCCGAAGACCCCGGGAAAGTACTCATGAGCCCGGCGGGGATGGGTGGGACGCGCAGAGACAGGGCTAAAAACAGTACCAAGGGGTCGGAGTGTTACCGAGTGCCAGGGCCCGGGAAAGGACGCGGGATCCAGGAAGCTGGGGTGCGGCGTGAGATGCTAGGAGCCCGGAGTGAAAAGAGGGCAGCCTGGGGCAGGGCGCGGGAACACGGCGCCTCGGACCGAATCACCGGGAACCTGGAGTACGGTGCGGGGAGGCAGCGAGGAAAGCCAGGGAGCCCGGACCGAATTGGCAGGAACCTGGGAAAAACTAGAGAGCCCAGGCGGAACTCAGGAAGCCGGCGCGGGGAGTTCGGGGTGGGAAGCGAGGAACCTGGGGAAAAGACTGGGAGCCGGGAGCAGGACCCCGGATCCAGGAAGCCGGCAGCCAGAGTCGGACGCGCCCGACCGCTCACCTTTGCGAAGCTCCCGCTCCCACACTGTGACGATGGGCCGCGAGTGTTTGCGATGGTGGATGAGCCACAGGGACAGGGTCTGTACGCTCTGCTGCGAGTTGCTCAACTCGGACAGCTTCTTCTCCAGCGCCGCCTCAGAGAAGGCGGACATCCCTCCGAAACCACGTCCGCGCCGTCCCACGCCGTGGAGCAGAGTGGAGGAGAGTGTCGCCGCCCTCGTCGCCGCCTCGCCCCCACACCCCACCCTTCCCCACGCCCTCACCACCGCCACCCCCGAGTCCGAGGCCGGCCGCAACCTAGCAAGATGGCGCCCGGCCGGCAGTGACGTCATGCGCTGGGCCCCGCCCCTCGCGCTGCTCACCCTGGGAAAGGAGACGACGCCCGGAGGCGGGAGTGAAAGGGAGGAACGAGCGGAAAAGGCAGGTACTGTGAGAGGGCGGGGCAAGGGGGCGGGACGGGGCGAGGAGGGCGGGCCTCCTTGGGCGTGGCCAGGCCTGTGAGAGGCCCTGGGCTTTCTGTTTCTAGGGAAAACTGCTCTGCTACATTAACAGGAAGGACAGATAGCTGAGTGGATTCATGCATGAAGCCTTGGGCTTAAACCTCAGTTCAGTAATTAAATAAGCGAACATACAAATGTGGGCTGTAGCTCAGTTGCCAGAGTTCTTGCCTAGCAGCCTAGATTGCAGCAAGTTCCATGCTCTTTACCCAGCACAGCACTAAAAATCCTGGCCGGCTGCTGCAATCCCATCACTTGGAAAGTGGGGGCACAAGAATCAGAAGCTCCGCCTCAGCTACATGGCAAATTTGAAACCAGCTTAAGGATAATGAAATTCTGTCTCAAAAAAAGCGGGTGGGGGACCAGATAGATGGCTTAGTAATTATTATTACTAATTATTATTAGTAATTATTGCTCTTGCAGAGGACCTGATTTCAATTCCCAGCACCCACATAGGGTGGGTCACAGCCACTTGCAACCCCAACTTTGGGGAATTCAACCCCCTTTTCTGGGTGACTAGGCACCTGTATGTATGCATATATAAACAACACAAAAAATAAAATAAATACATCTTTTTAAAATCAAAACAAGAACTAGTATAGCTCACCCAAGGGATCAACAAGGTTTGGCTGTTTTTCTTTCCCAGACTCAGCTATTGCCAAGTGAGTAAGATTGCTACTTGTCAAGACTATGTGCAGCAGTCATTGTTGCTCTGTGGCTTCCCTGGCCAAGCCTTAGCCTCAGTACTTGCTTTTCCTGCTACTTCAGATATGGCTTGAATTCCAGAAAGCCAAGAACTGAAAGGTGCTTCATGTCCTCAATGCTAATGCCCACCTCCTACAAGTTACGCCTGTTCCCAGGGAGGAGTGTGCAGAAAGAGGCCACAATGTGCCACCAGAAGCAAAGTGTCATGACCGCTTTGTTGTACTTCTTCAGACCCTGACCACTTAGACCACGTGACCTACAGTCACCAAGCTAGTCAGCATGTGTTTCGGGGGGAAGGGGTGTGAGGAAGGGTTTCTCTATATAACAGCCCAGGCTGTCCTGGAATTCACTTTGTAGACCAGGCTAGCCCCGAACTCACAGAGATCTGCCTGCCTCTGCCTCCCAAATGCTGGGATTAAAGTCTTGTGCTGCCGCTGCCTGGCATCTGTGTGTGTGTGTGTGTGTGTGTGTGTGTACTTTGTGTATGTTGTATATATGTGTGGTGTATGTATGCTGTATGGGGTTGTATGTAGCCTGGCCACACACATGCAGATAGGATCCATGCTTCTGCAAAACTCTCTGAATAAGAAATGGGTGCTGATTCCCTCCAGGCACTTTTCTTACCCTCAGAAAGCTGGCCAATATTTCTGTGCACCATCATCAACTTCAACAGCAAAGTTTATTATCAGCTGCTTTATATCAGATTCAAGATCAAGAATTCTACTTAAAAAAGAAGCACAATTTACTGAAAATGTGACGACTATAGAAAAAAATACATCTCGGTGCTTTCAGTAACAGCAGAACAGTCAGATCTACAATAAGCTGCACCAGGAGCTGAGGTTCAAGCCGTGCGGAACTTTGGCGCTGCAGGTAAACAGCTGAACTCTGAAGCATGTGTGCATCACAACATGCACATAGCAATGGGAAAGACAGCGATAGTGGATCTGTTTGTTTTAAGTTATAGAAACAAAATTACAGTTTAACACTTTTTTATTGTTTTGTTTTTTTGATTTAGGATCTCACTGTGTATCCTTAGGTGCTCTGAAACATGCTTCCTAGACCAGACTAGCTTTGAACACACATAGAGACCCATCTGTCTCTGCCTTCTGAGTGCTAGATCAAAGGTGTACACCACTGCTTTGGGATATTTGATTGCACTATGGAACTCCCAAACTGTGTTAATAAAATTAACCTTGGATCAGGAGGCAGAGCAGAGACTAATCGGCAGGAATAGGCCATAGAGAGGACAGAGGGGCCAGGAATGAGGATAGAGAGTCCCACAGGAAGGAGTGGGGATTCGAAGTCTTGAGACAAGGAGAGAGACTCTTCTCTTGCTGGATCTCTGGCCAAATAGAAAGACCAGTTGGTTGCTTCTCGACTCCTCTGATCTAGCAGGTTTTCACCCCAACATCTGACCCAAGTCTTTATTGGTAAACACAATGATAAAGACTTAGTTAAAATCTACATTTGGCAACCAAGCCAGTGCCAGCGTGGTGCTGACTTTAGACTGCAAGGCACAGATGGTAGTTAAAATATTAGTAGATTCAGGTGTAGCTGCTAGGCTGACAAAGAACAAACAAACAAACAACAAAAAACACCACAGCCACTTTTTTTTAAAGTAAGTATTTTACATGAATCGAGAAGCACTTAAGTGTGACAGATGGTCTGGAAGAAAACAGCATATTCTACAGTCGACTTTGGAAAGGATCCAAGTTGGATTCTTAAGCTGCTTTTATATTTTCATGCTTATGACAGTAATAGGTTTATGGATTACTTATATGGTATTATTGATTTAAGTGAGTCTATATAGAGATGTGAGGAAGAGATCTGGTCAGTGAGGAAGAGACCTGTTCAGTCGTCCTCATCAACTTAGACCATGAAACCCAATATGGACAAGTTCAACAGAAGCCAACATATACAGGCTGCCCATGCATGCTTCAGCATTTCCAGAGCATAAATTTTCAGTTATTTTGATATATAGATGTGGCTCAGTATAATGTGTGGGTTTGTATTATCCCTACTGTGTGTGTGGTATGGGGAATACACACAGGTGGTGGTCAGAAAACAACCCTGGGGTGTTGGTCTTCTCCTACCATCTTTATGCGAGCTCCAGAGGTTGAAATTGGTTGTCCAGCTTCTGTGGGAAGCGTCCTTACCTGCTGAGCCATCTCACCGGACTGGTGGTCTGCTGCTACTGCTGTTGCTTCTGGAGACAGAGTGTGGTGGTTTGAAAGCAAATGGCCCCCAACGAGAGTGGCTCTAACGGGAGTTGTGACCTTGTTGGAGTAGGTGTGGCCTCGTTGGGGGTGTCACTGTTGGAATGGGCTTTGAGGTCTGCTTTGCTCAAGCTACACCCAGTGAGACAATTCTCTTCCTGTTGCCGTTGAACAAGATGTAAAGACTCTCAGCTCCAGCACCTGTAGCATTAATTCTAATTGTTCTTAATAAATAAAAACCCAGAGTCAGCTATCAGGGGGTGAAAGCTGAAAGATCAGAGAAGCAGAGCAGCCACTAGAGAGACCTTTTACCTCTACCAATGATCAGACCAAAGATAAGATCCCATCCTCAGACTGCCTCCCCAGACTGTATCCTCAGACTGCATCTGTCTCCACTAAACCTCAGACTGCAAACTGCAACTCAGACTGCAATTCAGACTGCATCTGAGCTCCTTTTTCCTCCTGCCTTATATTCCTCTCTCCACCCAGCCATATCACTCTTGTCTCCACCTTCCTAGTACTGAAGTTAAAGGTGTGTGCCACCACCGCTTGGTCTCTAGTGGCTTAGTTCTGCACTCTGATCTTCAAGCAAGCTTTATTTGTTAAAACACAAACAAAATATCACTACAAACACCATGTCTGTCTTCATGCTGCCTTGCTTTCCATGATGATGATAATGGACTAAACCTCTGAACTGTAAGTCAGTCACCCCAATTCAATGTTTTCCTTTATAAGAGTTGTTGTGGTCAGGGTGTCTTTTCACACCAATAGAAACCCTAGTTAAAACACAGTCTCTTGTCTCTTAGGTTGGGCTCAGACTTGTGGATATAGTGCTTGGTGAGTTCCAGAGCTGTTACACAGAGAAATCCTGTCTCAAAGAAGGAAAAAGAAAAGGAAAGGAAAGGAAAGAAAAAAAAGAAAGAAATTTTCATGGCCAACCATATTGGTGCTATTCTGTAATCTCAGTGCTTGAGATGCCAAGGCAGACAGATTTCTATGAGCTCAAAGCCAGTTTCCGGAAAGATACATAAGAACACAGGCATTCCTGAAGCATCCTTTGAGAATCACAGTGACTCAAGGACTCTAGCAAAGTTAGGTGTGGTTGCTCACACTTGTATTCTCACACTTGGGGAATGAAATGAGGAGGATCGGAGTTCAAAGCCATTGTGGCTAAGTAGATGATTGGAGGCCAGCCTGGACCCCAAGAGTTCCTGTCTCAAACAAACCAAGAGCAAAGACATCAAATGTTTATTAATCTGTTTGGTAGCCAAGTGTGGTAGTGTGTGGTTGCTGACTGGGTACTTGGCAGGCTCAGGTGTGGAGACTGCTGAAAGTTCAAGGTCAGCGTAAGCAACGTGGAGAGTTTAAGGCTGGCCTGGGATTTAGAGTAAGACTGTGTCAAGAAGAACAAGATGAATGTTTTAAATCTGACTAGTTGTAAGCAGAGTTTGTCCCATTTTTCATAGTATGACACCTTGAAGCTCGGAGGAAGTTTAAGAGGGAACCCTTTCCAGCTCTTCTGCAGTGTTCTCCCCTATATCCACAGTCTTCATTCTCTTCCTGGCATGCCCTTCTGTTTATCCAGTTCCTTTGACCTAGTTGTTAGTACTTAGCATAGTCTGAGTTTAAACCTACACCTCTTCAGAGATACGCATGTATCTTTGTGTGTGTGTGTGTGTGTGTGTGTGTGTGTGTGTGTGTGTGGTGTTTTTAAGACAGGGTTTCTCTGTGTAACAATCCTAGCTGTCCTGGAACTAGTTCTTGTTGACCAGGCTGGCCTCGAACTCATGGAAAGCCACCTGCCTCTGCCTCCCAAGTACTGGGATT